GATGCCCTGAATCAGAAGATAATATGAATTGATAAATGGAAAATGATAACCTGTCTTATAAACCTTCACCTGATAAAAAAAATTGGTCAATATATAAAATGCCCAGGAAATAGGAAAACTCAGGGAAAAGAGGAAAAGGAAAGCCCTCTACCACTGAGTCCATTCCCTCTCCTAGTAACCCTGTAGGCAGCACAGAGCTGCCCCGTGGGGTTTCTACGATTCCTACATCCTGATGGATTCAGACTGCCACATCCTGTACTTGGGAGCAGCTGCCGGGTCCAAAGGCCAACCTGTTGTTCAGCAGCCACAAACTTGAACCACTGCACCCCAAGCTGCCTCCTCGGGCCACACACTCACTCCTGTGCAGTTGGTTCTGGCTCATAGCAACCCTATAGGCAGAGTCGAACTCAGCGCCTCCCCTGTACAGTAGCAGAAAGCCTCATCTTTCTCACACAGAGCAGCTGGTGGGTTTGAACCACTGACTGACCTTGTGGTTAGCGGCCCATGGAGTTCCCCACCACACCACCAGGGCTCCTTCTCAGGTCAACAACATCCTGTAACTCAAAGAATTCTGTTTGCCTCTCTTTTTAAACATCACTATCACCAGTAACCCAAACACCAGAGACTTCACCTACATTCCAAGAGCCTGGTAAGCTAGGAATGGTCCAGAGGTGGTCCTCATTCTGGGCTGGGGGCCTCTGTGAGGAGCCCACCCCCACCCCTGCCCCCAACAGAATCCAGGTGTTGCTTTTCAAAACGAGGATTCCACTTGCAATGTATTTGAACCCACACAACAACGAGCGGTATTATAACAGAATATTCCCTTAATGATGGGAACATGTAAGGGCATCGCTCCATTTGAACAGGAAAACTGCCCACCCACTGGAGAGTTTTCTTTGTTAACATATGCTATTTGGTTAACATCTTTCTCCAATGTGAACATTCCAAATCACACCAGGGGCTCTAACTTTTAAAAAAAATTTTTAAGGAAAGAAATTTCTACAATTGCCAGCACAGTTTTTGACAGAACACATACCGTATATACTTGTGTATAAGCTGAATTTTTCAGCACATTTTTAATGCCGTTTTTGTGGTAAAATTGGGGGCCTTGGCTGATATTCGGGTCGGCTTATACACGAGTATATACGGTAACTTTTGTTTGTTAGTTTTGAGAAATTGATCTTTGGGCTCTAGCCTTAGGTGTCTTGAAGTAGTTTACAAAATAATTCCTAAAAAGATAAGGTTTTGAAGGAGCATCAGAGGACTGACCATTCATTGGGTCTCGAGATCATAATTTTCAATATCTTTATAATTTTCAATATCTTTAGCTTTCATTTTTCACTAAACTGCCTTGTTCTCTCAATAGTTGGCCATGGAGATTGAGGTTATGTACCCCCAGCCAATTTCAGCATCTTGAATTTAGCAATTCAGAGAGACCTGATAGGACAGTGAGTCCATTTTTTGTCTGCCCTGCATCTCTTTCTTTTAGGAACTATCTTACCCCACCCCACCCCATATCTGTCTGTCTGCTATCTATCTATCTATACACCTACCTATCAGTCTATCTATCTATACATCTATCTATCATCTATCCACACATACACACTGCAGTTAAGTCCCCTGATGCTGTCAATCATGTCTCTGCCTTCCCAAGAAGAGGGCTGGACCCAGGCTGCCCAATCCCGATAAGACTCCTGATCTCAGCAGTGACTGCTACACCATTAAACTCAAACATGGCCCATCAGAGTTCTATGTGGCGAGAGGGAGGGAGGGAATGGGGGAGGGCGGGAGGGAAGGACACTGAAATATGGAAAGATATCCTTTTCTTTAGTAAGTCTAGCTCAAAGAAAGCCTTCAGCTGATGGTGACCATCTTTGCCATGTTGGGAGAGCGTTTGCCTAAGAATTATGTAGAATAAGAAAGAGAAAGAAAGGGAAGGGAGGAAGGAGAGAAGGAAGGGGGTGGGGGGCGGAAATCTATGTCCCCAGTGGAAGTTGTACACCAAAGTTCTTGACAGCCTGATTCATAAGAAATCAAAAAGTGGAAATAACCCAAATTTCCATCACCTGATGAGTGGATGAACAAAATGTGGCCTATCCACACAATGGATTATTACTTGGTCATAATGATGGGCATATTCATAGCTACAGAAAGTAGATTATGGTACAGTGAGTTAAGAGTTAATATGCAACAGCTTAACCAAAGATTCCAACCTGCCAGCGGCTCCCCAGGAGAAAGATGAGGCAGTAAAGATTTCTGTAAAGATTTACAGCCTCGAAACCCCATGGACTGGTTCTCCTCTGTCCTGTAGAGTTGTTAGACGTCAGACTTGGCTCCACGGGTTATGACAACAACCATGCAGGGCCTGCGAGGTGCAAGACAACTGGATGGTAGTGGGAATGGCAAGTCAGTTCACAGTCACTCCTCTCCAAGTTCACTGGGTAAGAAGTGAAGTGCTGGGGCCACGGTCCTACAAGGAGTGGGTGGAGGAGCCAAACCAGGAACATAAGTCTGTTTGATGTCAAAGTTCAAGTCCTTTTCACTACCCCATGAAATCTGGACAGATCGTTCCCTTCCGGTTATGTACCATTCACTTCATCTTCATCAGTAAGACAGCTCCAATGTAATGTGAGGCAGCAACGTGTTTGGCCAGGAGACGTATGATCTTCCTGCCTCCCTCCAAGCTCATCGGGCTGTGTGTCTGGGTTTGGTCAGTGGGACGTAAACCAAAGTGCTACACAGGACTTTGGGGAAAGCACCTTCAACAGCACTAAGGTGGCTGAGAAGAGGACGCCTGCTGTCATCCCCTCGCTTCTTCCATCCTGCTGCTGGCAATGTGGACGTCATGGCGGATGCTCCCGCAGCCACCTTGAATCATGAGGCCAAACACTACGGATATTCCAGCCATAGAGGCAGAAGAAGGTTGGGATAACCATGGAGGTACCCCGTGGCTCTGTCTCCAGGTCTAAGAGGAAAATAAACCTTCACAGATACTATTATTTGGATTTTTATTCATATGCAGTTGAAACTGAACCCTAAAGTTTACACTGGACCTATGAAACGCGGGACCAATCAAGAGAGTGAAGGCCCATCCATCTCAGAAGCGGCCGAGTGAGAAGCAAGCCACCAAGTCATTCTACCCAATTTGTCCTGGGATTCTACTGAATTACGCGCGAGACCGTCATCAAACGTTTTAGCGGCATGATACTCAACCAAAGTCCACTGCCAGCAAGTCGACTCTGACTCAGAGACCCTGTAGGATCCAGCAGACTGCTTCTGGGTTTGGTTTCTGAGGCTGTAATTTCTTATGGAACAGAAAACCTCATCTTTCTCCCTTAGAGGTGCTGGTGGGTTCGAACTGCTAACCTTACAGTGAGCAACACACCGGGTAACTCACTGTGCCACCAGGGATCTTTGTGGAGTTACAGATCCCTGAAAAGCCTGCTCGGATTTCAGCAAATAGAGGCCTTATATGTTAGAGATGCTTAGTTGTCCTTCAGGAATTGCTTCCGAAATACAGCTCCGCAGGAGTCAACAAGCTCCCAGAGAAGGGATTCCTGAAGAACCAACTTTATTTACACAATTCCAGCACAATTCGGTGAAGGGAAGGGAGTCAGGGTCAATACAAAGCCGGAAGTCAGATGATAAGACACAAAGCCTCGATTTTGCTTTAAAAATCAGCGCTCTGTCCCACCTTTCCAGAGCAAGCTCTTTGAATTCCCAGCATTCTTTCCTCTGCCAGAAAGACCAATAAATGGCAGTGGCCTTCCGTGTCGAGCAGTTTGTCTCTTTACTCAAGACACACGTGGTATTGATCATTCACTGCATGGTTTCTTACACAACCGCAGGCGGGTCTCTGCGGGACTCCCACTTTCTTTCGAAGGCTCTTTTGCGTTGGAGCCACGATGATGTACGTGGTGAGGAGGCACTAGGAGGAAGGCTTCTCTAGTTTGCATTTGTTCCCAAGACGGTTGGAGACGGCTGGTTTT